TTTCCCTTTCATAGGGAGTGTTTTTTTTTCTTATGATGGTGTTGAAATATACAAATATTACAGATATGGACAATTTAATCAATGTTGTCTGAAGGGTGCAGGGCAAGGACCAGGTCAGAGGGCCAATGCTCATCCCTACTTTAAACTATAAATGTGAAACAGAAAATAACTTACAAAAAAAATCAAGCCGAGGTCGTCAACCCCTGGTCTGCGGCCCATTGGCGGTCCGTGGCTTGAGCCCGACCGGGCCGCGAAGGCAGATCTCCCGCCAGCTCCTGCCGCACGCACTCTCCGCAGACTTCCCGCCAGCTCCTGCCGCACGCACTCTCCTCCCAACAGCTGCTTTGTGTGCACGCGTGCCAGCACCGGCATGAGCGCTCCCTCATGCATGCCAGCACCGGCAGGAGCGCTCCCTCACTCCTTCATGCAAGCCCCCCCCCACGCGCATTGCAGCTATGGGGCGGGGAGTGTGGGGGCAGGAGGTCTGCCTTTGCAGCCTGGCAGTGGCAATGGGGGTGGGCAAGAGCCGGGAGGCAGAGCAAGAGCTGGGTGCTCTGGCTGCTCTCCTCCCGGCAGTGGCGGTGGCAACAGGGGTGGGGGATGGGCAAGACCTGGGTGCTCTGGCTGCTCTCCTCCCAGCGGGCTCCAACGAGGCCAAGGTAGGTGCTCCTCGCCGCCTTCAGCAGGCCGATGCCGCCGCTGGTGCCTCCAGCTCCAGAACTGGCACCAGTGGCTGCATTTGAATTTCCTGCGGAGGGCGGCGAAGGAGTAAAATAAATTTTTTTAGTAAAATAAAATTTTAAGAAGACTCCTAGGCTTCCGCTGCCGCCGCTGGCACACACTCCTTCATCCCTTCAAGCACGTGCCCACGCGCAGAGATGGGGTGGGCGCACAGGTGGGCAGGTGCTCTTGCGCATGCACTAAACGGTGAGGGGCACATCGTGGGAGGGTTTGGCGATCTGCTTTCCAAGGGGGAGAGGAGCTGGAGGGGGGAATTTCTGGTCCATCTAATGCAATCCCAAATGTGCTGTGAAGGAACTCCGAAGCAGCAACAGCATCTCCCACCTGCCCAAATGGTGCTCTTTTAAATACGGATCTGTGGGTCTGAAAAAACCTTTAAAACAGAAAATTCACAGTGCATCAGGAAAGACGGCTGGAGGGGAAAACATGGAGGGGGAGAGGGAGGAGGAAGAAGAGGAGGAGGCGGGAGTATGCTGAGCGGCAATTAAAAGTGCTGCACCCGTTTTCCCTTCGCTCCCCTCCTCCCTTGCCTTCCTCGGCGCGCACCCTCTGATTTCCAAAGGGCGCCACTGGGGAAAGAAAAATAAATATTGTGAGATTTGCGGATGCTGTGATTGATTGGGGGGGGATATTTGTCAAGCCCCTATTGCTGAGTTCATTTTGCTTGTGTGCGTTTGGCAGAACTTTGACTCAGTTGCTAAGGTTCCCACGGAAGACATCATGTCAACGTGTGTGCGTCGGAGAGCCCAAGTGCAAAGGGCCGCCCCACTTCCCTCAGAGGCTCCACTGGTCCGCACTACTAAAAAGGTTGATCAAACCCAGTACTGTCTATTCTAAAAACAATTTGTGTCTCAAGAACAAATATTTCCCATTTGTGGCCAACCAAACCAAACACAACTCTTAAAACTTAAGTTTTTTTATTTCTTAACCAGGGTTGTTTTTTCCTCTTATATTTAGTTAACATGCCAAAAGAGACTAACACAGTTACCTCTTTGGAAACCTTAGGATTAATCCTTGTTTGAGTCCTTTCAAACATCAGTAACTAAAAATACAAAAAGTAATGAAAATTCAGCAAGAGTTTTCAATGCCACTAAATTAAACAAGAGAGTTCTTTGGCCTATCCAACTCAGAAATGAAATACCTACAATAGAATGGTTTTCAGTAGGATAGCCAGAGTACTCTGCAGTAAAAACCGTGTCTTAAATCCAAGTGCTAATCCTGATGAGAGCAAATCCACTGAATCAGCAACTGATTCAATGGGTTTATTTTAGTTGGGACTAACAGCTGGATTTCAGCAACTGTATCTCCCAACATCTTAAGGAGCAACAGAGTATCTGTTATCCTAAGGAGCATATCTTATGCTACAATATAAAGATACGTTGCATACATCTACAGTATTTGCTTTTCCATTTTTACAGCATTAACTCTGTAAATTTCTGTAGATTAAATGAAATGCTGTTGTATCAATTTCATATTTGTACACTGTTGTTTGCACATTTGCATCAAAGATACAGATAAGCTGTTTCATATTCCATCAGCCATAAAATGACATCTTTTGGAACAGAAACACGTGGGAATAGGACTCTTCACCTTTCCTTAGTAATGTTTCTTTCCATACTTATCACATCATGCTCAGTGAGCAAGAAGAAAAAAAGAAGACTGACTTTATTCCATACACAGATTCTATGCTGACATGGCTACTTTGAGAAAACCTAGGTATGCATGCAGATTTCTTTCCACTTATTTTTAAAGTTTCCATCTTATCAGTTTCCTTTTGTCATATTACATTTAGTATTTCTCAAAGTCAACAGTGGCTTATATGGCTACTTTTAATTGAATAGTTGATAAGAATTTGAACTCTAAGTACTCTATAACTACAAAACCCTGGAAAGGTTTGCCTTAAGCCAGAATTCATAGCAAATTGACTTGATAGTAAGTAATTGTACTGTGGTGTTTCTGACATGAACAAAAGGAAAAGATCAATGTTTTCACAGAAACATTCACAGACCCAAGCACATATCCGCACTACTGATTTTTTACAGTCCACTATTTTAGTATGGAATAAGCTATTAGGTATTAAAATTTTCTCATTTCAAAACCACTCAAGGATAAAGAAAAACAGTCTTCAAATATCATAAACATATTTTAAATATACTGTAAATAGCCCACAATCTAAATACTATTACTTTCAGCATACTGTCAGAATTCTGAACTGAAATTGGACAGTAATAATCTAGTAGACAGAAGAGAAGGCTTTTTGAAACTACAGTACTGCACTTTCACAACACATTTGAAAACCACTTAACTTAGAAAGGGAAATTGAGCTGATGACAGTAACCAAAAAAAGCATAGGTTATCTTCACTTAAATGAACAGAAACTTCCTCGGCCTGAGGAAATAGTATGATTTTTTTTCACAGGCTTGAGTTTAGAAGAGCTGAACGGGGCAGCTGAGGACAGGACATTTTAGGTATCACTCATTCACTGGATTCCCGTATGTCAAATGCAACTTCTTGGTATCACCTACTCTTACATTTGTGTAATCTTGGGGACCATATAGCATTTTCCTCATTCTCTCTTGCAAAAGTTATTTCATTTAGCAAAACATCTTAATTTAAGGCAAAGCACAACTACAGAACATTAGTATGTTATGATACTAGGTCAACTAGTTGCATTTTTATCCTCACACAGCTTTCTTCTCTACTCTGATCCAGAAGCTGTTGTCACATCTACATGTTTTTGTATTATTTTTCTAAAATGCTCATCTGAGAATTACTTAGATGCAGGCCTTACATCATCCACATGCTAGTAATATGGGCTAAAGGGACTGCCCAAGTAGTTCTTTCAATGAGACCTATATCTAGTCCTGTTCACTTGCAGTCCACAACCCCCCACGTATAGTTGCTCTCTCCTCTATGATGCAGATCAAGTTAACGGAGATCATGAATAAAAAGAGGGATGAAAAAAAATGAAGAACGCTGATAAAGAATGAAATAATACCTTAGAGGGGCAAATTAACCTTAAGATATTAGGGAACCACCATATGCATATATTTACAAATACCAGTGGTGCCTCCCTTGATGTACAATACACATTATACATAAACCCTATAGGTATGAAGCCTCCTGCTCATACTATCTATATTTTTTTACCAATACACATTTACATCATTCCATTTTTTTATTTTAAAAGAATCTTCCAAGGGAAACAACCAGGTACCCATACAGAACCGCACAAAGGGTTAGGTTTTCTAAATAGCACTACTTCAACTCTGCGACACCGCATCCTCAAGACCAACGCCATGTTCTGAGAGAGGTGCTTGCCTCCGCGGGGAGGGGGTGAGAACGGAGAACAACACCGCAGATTCT